TCCTCCGCCTAGATGGACACCTCATATTCTCTGGTCTCCTGCAAAGAAAGCAGACTGCAAGGGGTTGGACGCGGGCCCGCGCCGGGGGGGCGGGCAAGGGCACCCCCCTGCCCCTGCCCCGGCCCGCCCCCGCCGCGGGCCGTGCGCGGGGCGCTGGGGGCCGCCGCTTACTCCGGTCTCGTAGGTGGGGTTGTCGAAGGCCGCCTCCACCGTGATGTGGTCGTAGGGGTGCGAGGAGGCCAGGGGCAGCTGCAGCGCCGGCTTCCCCTGCAGCCTGCGGGCACCGACGGCTCGCGGTGGCAAAGGGCCGGCCGGGGGGGGTGTCACTGCCCGCCCCCTCCAAACCCCCGTGCCACCGCGCCGCTCACCTCGAGAAATAGAGGTACGCGGCGCCGGCGAGCAGCGCCACGGCCAGCACGGGCAGCAGGACGGCGATGGCCACGTTGGGGCCCTCCAGCGGCTTCCCCGCCGCCACCGGCACCGCCTTGGCCACGGCTGCCGGGGACGGGCGCAGAGGGGCGTCGATGGGGGCGGCCGCGCCCCGGGAGCCGGGGCTGCCCCCCCGCCTTCGCCCCCCCGCTCTGCCTTACCGTCCAGGTTGCGGTTGCTGTAGAACTCATCGTAGGAGGCTGCGGAAGAGGGCGGCGGGGGTGAGGGTGGCGGCGGGGGTGAGGGTGGCAGCGTGGGGGACACGCGGGTGCTGGAGGGGATTTTGGGGCGCTCACCCGCTTTGCAGATGGGCGGCGAGCCGCTCCAGCGCGACGGGTGCCCGGGCAGGCAGCGCAGGCTGCCCTCGCCCAGCAGCACGTGCCCGGCGGCGCAGGAGAAGCGCAGCGCGGCGCCCGCCGGGTACAGCCGCCGCTCGGGGCTCTGCGCGCCGTTGGCGGGCGCCCCGGGGTTGTGGCACGGCTCGTACGTCTCCGCTGTGGGCGGCAAGCGGTGGCCGGTGTCACCCCCCCGGCCCTGCCCTCCACCCACCCCGTGCCCCGGGGACTCACGGATGCACTTGGGGACGCGGTCGCTCCACTTGGGTCCCCCCGCGGCGCGGTCGTGGCAGCTGAGCAGCGCGGCGCCCGCCAGCACGTAGCCCTTGTCGCACACGTACTGCACCGTGGACCCCACGGGGAACTTGGCGCTCGAGACCACCCTGCGGCCGTGCTCCGCGTCGCCGGGGTCGCGGCAGGACGTCACTGCGGGCGGGAGGCGCCGCGGGTGACACCGGCCCCTGGGGACACCCCGGCGCTCACCCCGGCGGGGCGCTCACCCCGCTCGCACGCCGGCAGGTCGCCGCTCCACGTGAGGTCCCAGTGGCACATGAGGACGTCGGTGCCGGCGAGCTCGAAGCCGGGGTAGCAGTGGTAGGTGACGACGGTGCCGTGCACCAGCTCGGGGTGCGATGTGGTCTTCCAGCCGTTGGGGATCTCGGGCAGCTCGGGGCACGTGTCGTTGCGGGGCACCTCTGCGGGCAGAGCGAGGTGAGCCGGTCGCCACGCCGGGGACGCCGCACGCCCGCCCGCCGGCACCGCGCCGGCCTCACCGGAGAAGTGGATGACGAAGCCCTGCTGGTAGCCGAAGACGCCGGCGCCGGGGTCCGACTGGAACTGGATGGTGACGTCGGCCGTGGAGGCGTAGAGCTTGAAGCGCCCGCGGGTGCCCGTGTACTGGCCCAGGATGCGCGCCGTCAGGTCGTCCCCGTCGTAGAAGGTGAGCACGTCGCCCTTGCCCATGCGCAGCCTGTGGCAGGGCCGCCGTGAGGCCGGGGCGCCCCGCGGAGCCCCCCGGTGCCACCCGGCGCGGGGACACTCACACGCGGACGTCCAGCATGACGCGCTTGTCCTCCTCCACGTGCAGCCCCCAGATGCAGTCCTGGCCCTTGCCGTAGGGCTCGGGCCAGTTGGGCGACAGCACCACGCCGGCCGCGTCCGTGAGCTCCCCGCTGCACACGGCTGCCGGGCACGCGGCGCGCTCGGCACGGCTGCTGCGTGTGCCCAGTGCAGCACCCAGTGCAGCACCCACCCAGTGCAGCACCCTCCCATCTTTGCACTCACTCAGTGCAACACTCACCCAATGCAGCACCCACCCATCTTTACACCCATCCAATGCAGCACTCAGTGCACCATTGGTGCACTCACTCAATGCACCATCCACCTACTGCAGCACCCACCCGTCTTTGCACCCACCCAGTGCAACACCCACCTAGTGCAACACCCACCCAATGCACCATTCACCTATTGCAGCACCCACCTGTCTTTGCACCCACCCAATGCAGCACCCGTCCATCTTTGCACCCACCCAGTGCAGCGCACACCCATCTCTCATCCATCCAGCGCAGCACCCACCCAATGCAGCACTCACTCAATGCACCATCCACCTGTTGCAGCACCCACCCATTGAGGCACCCACCCATTGAGGCACCCACCCATCTTTGCACCCACCCATCTTTGCACCCACCCATTGCATCCACCCAATGCGGCACCCACCCATCTTTGCCTCTAGCCATCCTTGCACCCACCCAGTGCAGCACCCACCCATTGCGGCACCCACCGCGGCACGCCGGCTCCGTCTCGTTCCACTGCGGGTCTCCGGGATCCACGCACTCGATGATGGTGGAGCCCTGCTCGAGCGTGTAGCCGGGGTCGCAGCTGAACTCCACCGTGGTGCCCACAGGGTAGCGGCTGTCGCTGGCTGTGAAGTTGCCGTACTTGACGAAGGGCTCGTAGCAGTGGCCGCGCTCAAAGGCTGCGGGCAGAGGGGCAGAGGTTCGTGTGGGTTTGGGGACCCCCTCGCCGGGCTCCTGTCGTCCCGCCCTGTCCCCTACCCTCGTAGTGCAGCGCCATGCCCGCCGCGGCGCCGCTGCTGTCGGTGGTGAGCTCCACGAAGAAGTGGCGCCCGGTGCTGAGCAGCCCCTCGATGGGCAGGTACTCCACCTCGTACGAGTCGTACACCGGCGGCGCCTCCACGTTGTTCCCGTTGCGGATGATGAGCCTGTCGTGGGGTGACTGGGTCACGGTGCCAGCCGTGGCTGATGTCGCCCAACCCCAGGGACAGCCAACAGGGTTAACCCCGGGTATGGACGTCCACACTCATGCTTAGACAAGGCTAACTGCATCTGTCTTTGGACATGGTCAACAACATCATCCCTGGCCAAGGAAGATGGCACCGATGCTTGGGTGTGGTCAATGGCACTGTTCCTGACCATGGATGGTTGCACCCGTTTCAGGAGATGGTCAATGGTGCCCACCCCCGGGCATGGAGGATGGCACTATCCATGGGAATGGGTCATGGCGCTGACCCTTGTATGTGCCTCAAATCTCTGGACTTGTGACACAGGCGGATGGTACCCATGGACAATGTCACCCCGCCTTGGTACAGCCAACAGCACCCATCCTCAGATACAATCAGCAACATCCATCCCTAGACTCGCATGATGGCACCCATCCTTGGCCATTGCCAACAGCACCCATCCTTGCCCATAGCCAATGATGCTCTTCCTTGGCCAACGCCATCGGTGCCCATTGCTGGCCGTGTCCCAGGGCCACCCCAAGGTGCCCCCGGCACCACCACGGTGCCCCCCAAGCCCAAACCTGTCGTCATCCTCGGCCAGCGAGACCTTCTCGAAGTGCAGGTGCAGGCGGTGCCCGGCGGGCGCCTCCAGCAGCCAGTGGCACGTCAGGTTGTGGCTGTAGTTGCCGGGGAAGCCGGGCGAGACGACGCGGCCCACCGTGGCGTTGCGGATGACGCCGCCGCACGCCGCTGCGGGAGCGGGGCCGTGAGCGGGCGCCGCGGCACGGGGAGGCTCCGCGGGGCCCGGCGCGGCCACTCACCCACGCAGCGGGGCTCGCGGCCGCTCCAGAAGGGCCGCGTGGCGTTGCGGCACGCCAGCGCGCGGGCGCCCTGCAGCTGGTAGCCCGCGGCGCAGCGGAACCGGGCGTCCCCGCCGGGGTGCAAGCTGCTCACCGAGACGTCGCCGGCCGCCGGCCGCGCCGGGAAGGGGCAGCTCAGCAGGTAGGCTGGGGGACACGCACCAGCGTTAAGCCCTGCCCGCTTGCCGCTCCGTGGCTTAAATGAGCCCCTAATTGTGCTAATTATCTCCCCGTTAATGTGCCCCGACGGCTGGAGCCCACTTGACCCGTGCAATACAGCTTCGGCGCGCTCCGAGCGCTCTCCGAGCGCCTCCAGCCCCTACCTTGGAAGTGGAAGCGGAAAGTGCCGGGGCGCTCGGGCTGGGGGCTCTGGAAGCGCAGGGTGACGAGGTTGGCGGGGCTGCGGATCACCTGGCCCCGCTGCAGGAAGGACTCGTTGGCCAGCAGGGCCGGCTCGGCGCCGCCGGCGCCCTCCACCGTCAGCGTCTCGCCCGCCGCCAGGCTCACGTTGTGCACCTGCGCGGGGCCGCGGGCGTCACGGCGGGCACCGGGGCCGGCTCTCCCCGCCGGTGCCGCGCCGTAAATCCCCGCGGCCGCACCGGAGCGCACGCGGGCAGGCGCTGCAGCTCACTCCGGAGCAATTACCTATTAACGATGCCAACTAAGCAGCACCCGGCAGAGCTGGCCGAGCGCGGGTCGGGGGCTCACCTTGATCTCCACGCCGTAGCCGGGGTACACGGAGATGCTGTAGGTGCAATCCAGGCTGCCGGCGTGCGGCACCCCGGCGGGCTCCGGGGAGGCCACGGAGCCCTCGGGCCCCGCCAGGCTGCGGTTGCAGGGGGCCGGGGCCGCCGCGGGGAGCCCCCCGGGGACCTCATGCCCGCCCGGCGGCCCCTGCACGGTGGTGACAGTGGTGGTGGTGATGGTGGAGGTGGCGGGGGGCTCCTCCGGGGTGCCAGGGGGGTCCGGGGAGGCGCTCGGCACAGAGGGCGGCTCCACGCTGGGCTCCGCGGCGGGCACATCCGCGGCGGGCGCATCCGTGGCGGGCGCCCTGGGCGCATCCCAGGTGCCGGGGCGGCCGGCGGCCGTGGTGAGCGGCGCGGGGGCGAAGGCGGGCGGCGGGGTGCGGGCGGGCGGCCGCGGGGGCGCCTGCGCCAGGTAGTCCTTCTTGAGGAAGGCCTCGTGCAGCAGGTCCTCGAGCAGCGGGTGGTGGTTGAGCAGCTTGAGCGTGGGCGCCGTGGTCACCAAGCGCGCCTCGGCCTCGCGCTCGGCCGCCGTGGGCAGCGCCGTGGGCTCCGCCGCCGCCTCGGCGCTGGCCCCCGCCTTGGCCTCCAGCCCGTTGAGGCCTGCGGACGGTGCGGGATTTAAGCGGGGAGGAAAGAGGCCACGTCCCAGCTGAGGATGCTGCTGGGAATGCTGCTGCAAGCTGCCCCTTCCCCACTGCAACTTGCCCCTTCCCCGCTGCAACCTGCCCCTTTCCCCGCTGCAACCTGCCCCTTCCCTGCTGCAACCTGCCCCTTCCCCGCTGCAACCTGCCCCTTTCCCTGCTGCAACATGCCCCTTCCCCGCTGCAACCTGCCCCTTCCCTGCTGCAACCTGCCCCTTTCCCCGCTGCAACCTGCCCCTTCCCCGCTGCAAGCTGCCCCTTTCCCTGCTGCAACCTGCCCCTTCCCCGCTGCAA